CCCCCCCCCCCCCCCCCCCCCGAAGGGGTTGGTTGCTTTTCAAAAACTTGACCAACCCCTCCGAGGAACTCCGAAAGGAGCGTTCTGCCCTAGTATGCTAAATATGTTGATTGTTCATGTCATAACATGTTCTATGGAACATGTGATATGAATTTCATAAAGGTTAGGTTTCCACAGATATTAGAGAATGTGCATACTGCTCCCATCTTTGGAAGGATTGTGGAATTACATACGCTAGCGCTCCGTAGCTGCATAGTAACCAACTATTTATGTGTCACGTTGGCAATCTGTCTGCTGCAGGTGTGCTGGTTTTCATTGAATAACATGGCAGACATAATCAGTCGTTTATTTCTGTTAGTGCTTTCGCAACATTGTTATGATGAATTCTTCATTAATTTTAACTTCTTTGATGGTGAGTACATTGACTTCGTGTACGTAAAAAGATATTTAGAAACCCCTAGATGTGTTGTAGTTATATATGTCTTTATTCATGTATTAATACATATTATAAGGTTATGGGGTTGCAGTTGCACATTATATATTTTTTAAACTGAACGTCAGCAAGATTTAGTGGTATCTCGATTTCAGAAAGTAGAAAAATAAAGGGTTTTAAACATATTCGAAATTCGATGACACGTATAGTTCTGACGTGACTGCGAAATATGTTGCAGTGGCTCAAGTGCAGTGTCATTTTTATTTGTATTAGAAACAAAAATTGTGTATGTGCTATGACATGTTCTACATACTTGACTCGGGCCTATGAAGGATGTGTGGAATGTAAACGAATTATATTCTCTTCTGTTGTATTCTAACTGAGCCATAATATGTTAACTTTAAGGAGCCTAACTTAAGCTGAATATGGTGTTTATCCATTGTTTGGTTAACTTAAGTAACGTTTTCTTAGCCCTGTATTCTACTGCAATGAAGAATGATTTTCTACCCTGGATCTAATTTCTGGGTTATAATTTTGAATACATGTAGGCAGTATTGCTGATATTACAGAGTCATACTGTCTCCATCTTCAAGGATACTATCAAATTACTCCTGAGTGTACTTATAGCATGAGTTCACATAGCATAACTCACAGATCTGTGAATTTTTTTGGGATTTCTTCCTCAGTCAGTTCTGAGAATGAAAAAGATGGAAAATAGCTGGCAGTGACCAGTAATTGTCCGCACTCATATATGTTATTGACTGTGTTATGCAACAGTTCTGTGGAGGAACTCATAAATCAAATTTGTTGTTTCAGGACCATGTTTGACAGCAACATTAAGCAAAGTTTTAGGACTGGGTATTGTGGCTGGCTCTATAATGGGTAAGTTATTTTTTTAAGTTTGAGAATAATATTCCATTACTTCAACATTTGCTCTGGCTAAGACTCTGAATTTGCTAAAACAATCTGTGATAAATCTTTCTTAATGATCACCATACCTTTAATAAAATATAAATATGTAGTGAATGAGTTTATCCCATGTTATTAAATGTCTTGCTTGTCAATATATATTATAGAACTTTGTGAAATGTTTCAGGTTGTCATTTAATTACACAGATATGAATTTTTAGTTTTTGGAAAGGTAAAGACATAATTCTCCAGACATTTCAGAAATAACTGTGCAGTCTCATGCACAGTTCCTTGTGCCAGTTGTTAGTCAACAAATTTCTTTCAATCAGAATTCTGTTGTATGTGGTTTATTTAATGATGCTGTCGGTAACTGAGGCCATATACAGTTGAATGATAGGGTGATTGATGAAAATTAATTGGAAATTATTTGAAAAGAAGCAGCTGGGACCTAATTTAGAGTACTATACTGGCATTTGGCTGGAGTTACTCAAACCACGAAGAACCTCAATGAGGATATTCCGTCTTTGGGTCAAGATTTTAACCCGGGACCTCGACTACGACAGTAGTTCTCATCAAAATATGAGTTTTCTTTATAATGTGATTAGATTTTGGAGGCTGAGCAAATTATTTTCTGTTATTATGTAACTGAAATTGAAGTCAAAACTTTCATAAATTTTATGACGAACTAGCTGCAGTTTGAAAGTCCCATAGGCCAGTAATAAATAAGCAGAATTTCAAATAGTCATTTGTTCGAAGTTTCAGGGTGTTATTGAAAGCAACATATTTGCATCTGGCCTTTGTTCCCTGTTATTCCCTTCAATATATACTGTGACCAGAAGCTTAAAGAATGATATCAATATTCGTCCTTGAATAAGCAAGTGACATCAGATCTCTTAAAAAAACCCATAAAGCACGGTCGTCTACATAGCTGGCAGAGAAAAGTCTTAATGCCAGACTAAATAATTAATTAGGGAACAACGCCTGCAAAAAAGATTTCCATTGAGCGTGAACTTGGACGTCTTTAGGTGCGTGTCATGATAGAACGTTGTACAATATGGCGTCGACTGGAAGGGTTACTGTTAACATCGAATCGGATGGATGCGGAAGGAAGCTGTTGTGGCCTACTTAGCTGGAAGCTTTAGAGAGCATTGCGAAAAGCTTCAACGTATGTAATCTGTCTGCAGGACGAGATTAGAACCCAGGACATCCCAAATACGAGTGTTAAACACTCGATGTTAGGAAAACTGTTAGAACGTATTTCTGTCGGGTTTGCAAATTTCTGAAGATGTACAAAGCATTTTGCCAGTTTTTTTTGTACGTGTGTGAAACGTGGTCTCTTTCGAAATAAATGACTAGTGTGTGAAAACAAAGTGTTGAAGGAAATATTTATTGTCTTAGAAGGTTGAAGTAAGAGGACCTTATTACATAAACAGTTTTATGATTTGTGCGGCAACGTGGCATTGTTAGAAAAGTGAAATATTGGATAGTACATTGGACTATAAATGTGGTTCTAATGAAAGAAGCAAGGATTGCGTATAAAATTTCAAAGGGAGAATTTCTTGGAGAAGTTCACTTGGAAGACCGTGAATATTCGGGTGTATGACATTAAGATCGACCTTGGAGAGAGAGGTTTGTTGATGGTTGAATGTAGATAGAACTAGCTTATGATCATACTGGTAACTTTTGGGTTCTGATACTACGAAGGTAGTGAAATATATCGCAAATGAAAATAACGTAAATTATGTACTCAGACCGGCTTGACTGTACCAGGAAATTGTTTACTTTTATGTTTTGCTTTAAGGTCACGTTTTTGGACCGATAACACGGACAACTTGTTTCACTCTGTGGAATATCTTATGACCTTGACAAGCCTGTTTCGTATTTCTGTTGATCACTTTCTCCTGGTAACAAGTGTAGTGTTTGACTAAAAGTAAACTGTATCAGCGCCTTTGTGTTCTGCTGTTGGACATTACCTTTGATTTGAGGTGTTAATACACGTGTTGTTTGGTTGGGTTTTGTTTCTTCCTTGGTGTTTATGGTGATCCAGCAGCAAGTGTTTTAACCGTATTTGCCAAATATGATAATTTGAAAACTAGCAACGTGTCTATTGTAAAACACTAAAAGTGAACCGTTTCCCTGTACACATTCTTGTAATTACTGGCCGAATTAAAAAGCGTGCTAATTTGCGCTGCTTTTATTGGCGGAGCCAGCGAGGTTTACGTGTGTAAGATGAAGTTCTAGGTTAGACCGTGCGATGTCGTATGACTCAATCTGTCTTGTAGCGCCATCTACTGGGCTGGTTTGGTTCTTCCTGGCAACATTGTGGGAATTTTCTTAACAAGCTCCTTTTTATTTTGTGTTCTGTACGGTTGGCATGGGAAGGTGCGCTGGTATAATTTAGAGCTTCCAGCGAAAGATGTGCGTGAAACAACGCAATTAAAAACCATTTTCTGGTTCAATAAATACAGACTGAAAACCAGTGTAAATTTATCTAAACGGAAACCTTTTTTGTCGCTGAATAAAGAGAAAGTCTGTTGCGATGTTTAATGTTTTCTATAAAAAAAAGTGTTGTTCTTGAAACTGAAAATAAACGTAAATGTAGCCACCACTGCTTTAAATTACGTATCGTACAGAATCGAATTAGACTTGGAGATCTTGAATTGTGATTAAGCAGGGATTCAGAAGGGTTCAGTCTAGGTTTATTTCAAGGAACTTTCGAGAATTCGCTTGACAGACTGAGGGAAGGCCGCGTGGTCAGGATATCCGGTAACCCATCCGAGATTCGAACCGGGTATCTTTTGAATATAA